TTTCATTCTTAGTTCACTCATTTCATACCTAAAATCTCAATTCTACGCATAATAAAATACAAATATACAGACAATACACGATATTGTCATGTACATCAGAACCATACATTTCCCAACACTTTCTGAGTCATCTTGTACCTGATCACATAACAAGCACAAGATACTCAGATTCTTCGCGCAACTATACTAGATCATACAATAAGTATAGTGCATCGTATATCTGCACTAGTTCACACAACAAGTGCAGTGTACCCAAATTCCACACGCACACACTAGTTATATATTTCACATGTATAACATATATACACACATATATATTACAATGCAGACATGTATCTTCACTATATGTCTTAAACAGAATGTGTATTTATATTCACACATACACACACAATTTCTATAGATACATACGCACATATTCATACTTAAACACATACACACAATTACACACAATATATCATATACATATTTATTTACGTATTTGCTCTTATCAGTTCTGTTCTTATCAATTCTTATCTCATTCATCGTATATTTATATATATATATATATACACACATGCATAACAACGTATATATATACACTATATAAACACAAACAAATATAAATTAGACATACTTAAACACATGTACGCATTACACACAACATATCATATACATATTTATTTACGTATTTGCACTTATCAGTTCTGTTCTTATCAATTCTTATCTCATTCATTGTATATTTTTATATATATACACAAATGCATAACAACATATATATATACACTATATAAATACAAATAAATATAAATTAGACATACTAATTATATATATTATATTACACATATATTTAAATATTCATACATAATGCACTATATATATACACATTTATATAAACGTACAATTTATGTTTCTATATGGAATATACATAATTCTTACCTATAGTATGATAATAAAAGCTTTGAAAATCCTTTCTACCTTAGTCTACGGTCCTCTCGAAAATTCAAACACCGTTTGGGTAGTTTTTCTTGTTTATAATAGAAAAAACATACATTAAATTATAATAATTTTGAAAACTATATTATGCGAAATTAGGAATGAATTTTACCTTCGAACATGCGATCTCGGTCGCTAGCGCCACCACGCGTCATTATACGCATGTGACCGAAAATGTTAAGCGCTGATGATCGAATCAGCGCGCGTTGTCACGTTTGGTGCACCAACATCATATTTGGTTGCCACTCCTCCATTTTTCTTAATTAATTTTTTTTTTCTTTTCTTTTTCATTCCTCTTCCCTGTGGCCTTACCCTCTTTTTTTTTTTTTCTTCTTATTCTTCTTCTCTCCCTTTTTTTTCATTTCTTC